ATACCAGTGTTGTTACCATATGCTCACCTGAACACATTAACTTATTCCTGAAAGAATGTCATGATAATATTACATCAGCACACTTCTCTTATGACAGGACTATAGAAAGAATTAAGAATGTGGCATGGTGGCCCAATTTTAAAAATGACACTAAGAAATATTGTGAATCATGTGAAAGATGCCAGAAAGCCAATAAGGCAACGGGAAAAAGATATGGACTACTACAGGAAATTGAAGAACCCAAAGAAAGATGGTGTGTAATTAATATGGACTTTGTTACTGGATTACCACCTGGAGGACCCAATAACTTCAATGCTGTACTTGTAGTAGTAGATAGATTCTCTAAGAGAGCAAGATTTCTCCCTTGTCATAAAGAAGACACTGCCATGGACACAGCCTTACTATTCTGGAACTCTATCATTTATGATGTAGGTTGTCCTAGATATATTATTACAGACAGAGACCCTAAATTTACATCTGAATTCTGGAGAAACTTATATGATCTGTGTGGTACACAATTAAAATTTTCCACTGCTTACCACCCACAAACTGATGGCCTAGCTGAAAGAATGATACAAACTCTAGAAGACATGATCAGGAGATACTGTGCTTTTGGATTGCACTTTAAAGATAAAGACAGTTACACTCATGACTGGGTTTCCCTTCTTCCTGCTCTAGAGTTTGCATATAATTCTAGCAAACATAGTACCACCAATAAGACTCCATTTGAACTGGAAAGAGGATGGACACCCTGGTTCCCAAGAGATGTACTATTGAATAAAGCTGTACACATTCATCCCAGTGCCACAGATTTCCATTTCATGATGACTAAAGCAGAGAAATATGCCTCTGAATGTGTTAAACAAGCTGTAGATTATAATAAATCTAGATGGGATAAAACTCATAAAACCCACAAATTCCAAATTGGTGACCAAGTGTTAGTATCCACACTAAATTTTACCAACTTATCTGGACCAAAGAAATTACGTGATTCTTACGTAGGACCTTTTACAATTAAACAATTACACGGGAAAAATGCTGTAGAAGTTATTCTCACAGGAGAATTTGATAAGAAACACCCTACTTTTCCTGTTAGTTTAATTAAACCTTATGTAATAAATGACAATGAGAAATTTCCTTTAAGGAAAGATAATGTGAGAGTAGTAATTCCTCCATTAGAAGAAGAAATAGTGAAAATTAAGAAAATTTTACAACATAGGAAAATTAGACAAAATAATACTGACATTAAACAATATCTGGTTAGATATAGTGGTAGTAAAGAAGATGAATGGCTACCTGTAGACAAGATACCTGACTCAGATAAACTCCTCAGACAATACAGAGTAGACAAGAGAAAATGACTTGAGGATCATTTCCTTTTTTAGGGGGAGGAAGTGTCAGCCACAGAGCACATTTCACAGTACGTGAAATGTACCTAGTAACTGCAATAATAATAATTAATTGAATACTGGAAAATAGTATACATTGTTGTTAGAATAATAAATAAATAAATATGTATTTACATTTAATCTTAATTCATAATTTATATTTAATAATTCTATAATTAACTGTGAAATCCCCTTGAGTATTGTACATATAATATCACTAGGATTTCACAGAAATATCATTAGAATAAAGTATTAAAACAATGTTTATTCTTATACATTATGTACATATTTTATAAGCCATAAATAATTACATATGTATAAAGAATCAGCTAGTAGAAGCGTGAAATGGATGAGGAATAAGCTATATACATTTATCTGAAGCTTACCCATCCTTGATCACATCATCAGGGCATCAGATTGCATCATAACCCTCTTGGATGGCGTCATCAGGACCCTTTTGTGCTCTAATTCAAAGCTTGCATAATTCAAAGCAGCCTACACGGGAAAGGAGCCCAAATTCTACATGCAAGATTGAATTATGCATGATGGACATGCATTTCTCATGATCACAAGCTTGCATAAGCAGAGTTACACGTATGCAACCAACTCTACAATTGCACAGCCCCTGCACAGTAAATGTAGCCCTTTAAATTACGTGAGAAATAGGCCACAAAACTCAATTATGCATGTATGATCTCATGTCCTAGGACCTTCCACCCATGCATAGCACTGCACAGCTACAGCTCCCATCCTTACACGAAACTGTAGAGCTGCTAAGAAGCTCCCTAGTGCCCTGAGGGCCTCTCCTCTTCCCCTGAGCCCCCTGTAGAATATTTAAGGAGCTCAGATTCCTACCTTTTCCCCCCAGGAAATTCTAGTAGCATCAAACCAACACTTGTACCGTGATTATTAGTGATTCAAACCACCAATAACCTTACAAACCAGCTACCTTAGACCTAAATAGATTTACTTTGCTCAGATTCAAGGCATATCTACTTATCTCTATTGCATAAAGAATTATCCCCCAGGTAAAACAATTCTGGTCCATAAGTGTTGATACACTTATTAATCTAGATTGTTGTTAAAAGACTAATCCCAAGTGAGTTGAAGAAGTCCTCATCTTGGAAGCCTATTAATCCATACAAGAGGATTGATCTGGATGCCCAATTAAATAATTGGATGAGTCAGCAGTAGAAGTACCATTCCTCACTGACTCCTCCCTGTTTCTTTTACAGGTTGAGGGATTTAACCACGAATAAACCTTCCCACTTACCATACTTGTTAACACTCAGAGCACAACCCTTACAGGTTAGTAGCATAGAGGCTGACAACTGCAGTGGACAGGCTTTTTTTAATGTTTTTTTGATTGATTTTTACCGGCCTGATTTTAAGCATTTTTTTTTATTTTAAATTTATTTCCTACATTTACAAATGTTTAGAATTGAATAGTGAAGTCCAATTTCACTCAAAATACAAGCTTCAATCTTAATAGATGAGCGTACCCTGTTTCTTGCATAATTTGTACCATATACAAATTTTATTTGAATGCAAAATGGATACAGCCATCAATTCTGAAACCTTTAAAAGTGTAGGAAATGAGCTTGAAATTCCAAAAAATAAGGATAATTGAGCGTGTAAGAATTAATTCAGGAAACACGTCAAAGGCATTATTCAAGATATAGTTCTCATTTTGATGAAAATTAATTGTTGCCATAATTTTAAACATGTTTGAAAGTGTAGGAAACAAATTTAAAATGTCAAAAAATAATGACAATTAAGCTCTTAAAAATCAATTGAAAATATGACTAATTACAGTATCCAGAATGAACCGTTGGGTTTTATGGGAATTGAATGTTACCATTAAATCTTACACACTTTTAAATGTAGGAAACAACTTTAAAATTTCAAAAAAGCATAGAAAATAAGGTACACACATGTATGCAAACAATTAAGTGAAAAAGTGATGAATTAATTAAAAAAAAACGTGTCAAATGCGGCATTCAAGGTATAGTTTTCATTTTGGGGAAAAATTGTTGTCACCATCATTTTCTACATGTCTTAAAGTGTGGGAAATAAATTTAAAATGTCAAAAAATGATGAGAATTAAGCTGTAAAAAATTAAGTGAAAAAATGGGTCTAATTTCAGTATTAAAAATGAACCGTTGAGTTTTAAAAAAATTGGATTGCACCATTAAATTCTACACACATTGAAACCTAGGAAATAATTTTAAAATTTCACAAAAGCATAAAAAATAAGGTACATACATGCATGCAAACAATTAATTGAAAAATAAGTGGAAAAAAAAAATTAATAATCAAAATTCATTTTTATGAAAAATGGTTTTTACCATTAAATTCTACGCCTTTTATAGTGTAGGAAACAACTTTAAAAATTCAAAAAAACTCAAAAAATAACCCATAAAAAATTAATTAAAAAACCGCGTATAAAAGCGGAAACCGCGTGTGCTGCGTCAAAACCGCGTCAAAACGCGGAAAAACCACGTTTTTTTATTAAGGCCCAAAAAAAATTGGGAAAAAAATTGGGAAAAAAATCGGGAAAAAAATCGGAAAAAAATCGGGAAAAAAATCGGGAAAAAAATCGGGAAAAAAATAGAAAAAAATTAGAAAAAAAATTGAAAAAAATACAAAAAAAATTGAAAAAAATTAAACAAAAATGAAAAAGGAGTACATGGAATTACAGCTAGTTACGTATCTGTATCAGTCACGTATCGTACTTTTCCCAAGTACATAATCTTACAAGTACGGTGTATTGTATTATTGGGGAAGTACGCTTATGTAAAAATACATCGTATCGTACTCAAGAATGAGTACGATACGATTCCGTGTAATTGCGAACTTTGAAAGTACGATACGGGCCATTACGAGTACGTGTCTCGTAATGGTTGCACCGTTGCCATGATGGTAGCAAAGGTGATTATTGAAGAAATTCTGTAGAGAATACCTGTTAATTGTCCTGTCTTACTAAAGCATCAAGTTTTTCTCTGAAAAATTTTATGTTTTTTCTTTTCTCAGGAAGCCTGTGTGGATGAAATTGAGCCCCCCCCCCCCCGGATTGACAAGCCTAGGACTTGAGTGGGGGTATGTAGGTGTGACTTGGCTCTGATCCGGGTAAGGAGGAAGAAATCAGAAATTCAACAAACAAAAATATTTGCCCCAAGGGCGAGGAGGAACAACTTCAGACCCAGGGCAAAGGCGAAGTGATAAAGGCCTGAAAGGCTAACTGTGACTGGTATTCTCAAATACCACCGGCCACGTGGAGAACCAAAGGACTGAGGTGCTTTGCGGACCACGTAACCTCCCGCTAGTCTCTGATAATCTTCAACAATTGAAGCAAACTCAATGTCCTGGGCCTGCAGATTAGCTTGTCGAGTTGAGGGGCACCGCTGTACTACTATACTAAATTTCTTGAGCTGCCGTGGTGGCGAAGGTTGCGCACTGTCACCATTGACTATGCTGTAGTTAGTGTCCCATTAACTAAATAGAGATCCGCAGATAGGTTTTAGATTAATGGCAAGTCCTCTATAAACCCTCTGGCTGAAACCACTGGATACTCACTCACTCGTGTTGAGCTCCCCCAAACTCTTCAATTGTGAACTGCTGGCCTTACCCAAACTACCTTACACTCTCCTCAATCTTAATCCATTCTTAATTTTACTTCGCTCCCTGGATAAATAGCGACATCTTTTGAAATGGTTTCCTGGGCATTGATCCTGATAGTTAAGCACTTCTGAATTCATTGGGGCAACGAATACCATCACCAAAGCTGGGAGCTAACGACTTAAACTCAATTAGCTTGTTGGACACAGCTTAGGGAGTGAAACCTCAACAGAACTCAGCCATCTCCCCCACACCACAGAATCTTTAGAGTCCGTTAGTCCGTCTAACCTATGCCAACACCACTCCGATTGGGCAGGGGTACATTTGCCTAGCGGACCACCTTGCAGTGTGTGTGCATATTCTTTTCACAAAGCTTGCAAGATTTGATTTGATTAATTTTTGTTCCCTGGGGCTTTAACAGCATGAGATAGCTATCAAAATTGATGGTGAAGAAGGCATTGGGACAGCTCCAGGAGCTAGAAGTCAAAGAACCACCAATCTTGCAACCACTGAGAATCCCCCAAAAGAAATAAGTCTTGTTGGTTCAAAAATCACAGACGATTCTACTGAGGAAAGTAGCCAGAAATTAGAGGACTGTCCAATCTGCTTGGATAAGTGCTCAGAGCCATATCCAATCTTGAAATGTACCCACTCTATTTGCACTCCATGCATCAACCCATGGTTAAAAATAAAGCCTAGGTGCCCAGTTTGTCAAGCAGAATTGGATCATGGAGTGGTCGTAAGCGCCGCACGGCCACAAGCAGACGAGTCAGCGATGTTAAACAATGATGAAATTCATAATGCAATCAACATGATTGAGGTTGAGAATCAACTTCGAATTGACAACACAAATTATTTTCGTCGCATGAGTAAGTATGTGGCATCATTCGGAGTGGTCTTTGTGGTTGTGGTTATTATCATATTCCAATACTTGATGTGAGTTTTTTATTTCATGTTTTCTATAAACTCTCAGTTTAACTAAATTATCCCAACTTGGAATGCCATAGCCCATCCATCAACTTCAGAATTCATCCGGATGGTTATCCTAATTATGCACCTCCTCCTGGCCATCTATAAATGGTTTGATATGGTTTTCTGGAAAGAAAAAAGAATCCAGAAGATTTTATCTAATGTTTCATTTGTATGATTTGGTTAAACCAATTTTCCTGCTCCAGTATTCCATGGATAAAAAATTCAAAGGTCTGTTGAAGAAAGAAGCTCATGATTTTATCAATATTGTTAATTTGATATGATTACCCTTGAAGTTCTTTTCACAATGCAAATTCTTCCTACATTTTCATCTATCAATTTGTTTCTGAATGCCCAAGTCAAATTAATAATCTTGTTGATTATGATGATATTGTTAGAAATATTGTTACTGGCATTCACATTTTAGAAACATACATCCATCATTTTTTTTTTGAGCTGATCAATTGAGTGCTTTGAGAATATAAATATTTTCAGCCCTGATCAGATTGAAGCAGTAACTCCCATACTTACTCAATCCTCCCAATAAGCTGAAAACTATTACACACTGTTTTACTTGAGCTTATATGAATCTGGATAACAATCTTCTTATCCTCCAATTCAGTTTCCCTAAATAAATTTTATATGTGTGGGGAAAAAACTAAAACCAGGAGAGCAATAATTTGGTCAAGCCATCAATATCTCCACATTCAGCTTTGATTCAACAACCCACACTGATTGTCAACTTTAATAAGTTCCTTTCCTCTTTGTTCCCATGAAATTCCAAATATTGCCCAATGCTTTCCTTGAATGATTGACCCTTACTACCACTCCTCCAAATGGTTCAAATTTAATTTAACTCATGATAAACACTGCATGAAATTATGTACAAAATCTGTCTTGTTCTGCCTATTCCAAATTACTTGATTTGTCCATGTGAGGGGATTTTATTTAGCCTTGAGCATAATGGCTGTTTGAAAGTTGGGTGTTGTATCCAGTGCTTGAAGCTTCAATTGTGCAGAGCTTTCTACACAAGCTTGGCTTAGCACAACATTTCTCAGATTCCTTGATTCCTATAAAATGTGCATGCACAAACATGTTTTTCAGCCAAAAATACAAATTTCAAGCAAATTCTTTATGCATGTCAATGGCAACACAGAGAGCTGAATATCAACACAAAAAAAACTCCTTGCCAAACAGCTCATAACTGTCATTCACGCAGAAGCATCTTTTCCTTCCCTTATTGTACCAGCCAATCTATAGATATTTTGTGGATTTGGTGGAGAACAAACTGGTGAGTATGTCCGGTCGCACAACTCCTGCGGACCTGTGAACTGCTGGGTCCGCCAGACTGTGTACATATGCCAGTGTCGGATAGCTGACGCCGGGTTCGGGCATATCGGGTACGGATGCTAGATGGGCTCCACCCGACCCCGACCAGCTGGCATCCCCGGTCGAGACCAGCCAATTTGCACACTCGATCCCTTCAGCAACTCGACCATCTGGAACGAAAAACTAAAAATCACGAAACCGCCAGACCTGGTATAAAATCCTCTAACTCAAACACATTGACATCATGGTTTCTACGGCGATGGTTGGACCTGGATTGGGTGAGTATCTCAAGAGTTACATATGTGGCTTTATTTTCTGACTCGATTCGATATATCTGATTCTGACTGACATACGTGACATCCATCCCATCATTCCCCCCCCCCCCCCCCCCCCCCAGGGAAAAAACCCCCGCAAAAAATTGAGAATTAATGGGGGCGCGGTTTGTAGGTGGGACTTTCGTCTAAGGTGGGGGGCTTCCCTATCACCCGCCGAGATGGGGACACAAACACAAGCCCCCCCTGATGGGTTCGACCGAGTCTCCGGAGAACGGCAAAAAAGTCGCCCCCGTTTGTTTCGCTTCGGCTATCGTATACGCTTGTTTTGTTGGCTTTTGTTCTTGTCAAGTCAGTCTCCATTTTTCCCTCTCTCTCCCTTGTCCTTACCCGAGTGGTTTTCTCTCAAATACAACTTCGTCAAAACAAGTCAATCGGACCGAAATCCTAATGAGTCCCTCCTTCTTTTGACTGCGCATAGCTGAGCGCCAATCGACGGGTGGTACGAGGAGGAGAAGTGCACCTTCGGTGAACAACGAGCACCCAAGACAGCCTCTCTGAATGTTGTAAATCGCAAGACTGTAATACATATCTCAACTCTTTCCCTCTCGTTATCTCTCAACCGTTAATTTAACCAGACACAAGAACTACAGAAAAATGAAGAACACAAGCTTTCACAAGATTGAAGAAAATCATGATCCATCCAGCAAGCAACGCAAGTATGCGCAGGGTGCACTAGCCCTGTTTGTTTGTTTGGGATCACCTGATGCTCAAATTACCTGCTCAATCATCGGGCACGGGACATCACCCCCACACTGCACTTGCGAAATTTATATGTCACCTACCCAATTTACTCAATCCCTCCTGTGCTTCATAACCAGGAGAGGTATGTCGACACTTAATTTTGGCAAAGCTAATATGAAGGATGGTGCTTATTGATCAGAAAAGAAAATGAAGGCCAAGAAGCTCTCAAGAAAGTATACAAAGATATGAAATGAAAAGGGAAATGATTAAAGTGGTCTTTGTAACTACAAAAAACTGAAAGGCTGAAAGGTTACAGTAGGCTGGGCACAGCCAATGGAGGCAAGAACATTGAGCTCAATTGGCTCGAAACAAGTAAATACAGATTGGAGGTCCGATAAGCGATCGGCACACGTTGCTGAGTAAGCCTTATGGTATGGATTGATATTGGAGAGCAGAAGGGAAGTCAAGGTGGAATGAAAGCGCCAGAGATGACCCGAAACCAATGGTGAAGGGAAAGCCTACTAGAACTGACGCTGAGGGAAGCGGATATCTTTCTTGTAGACGACCAAGGTGTTAGTGGTGTCTACATAGTAGTGGCTTTGGGTGTAAGTGGTAGTGGCTGAGGTGGGCGCATAGAGGTCGGGGATCAGGTCGAGATAATAGGTGGTCTCGAACTCTCTGGTCAAGCGTTGGGGTTGGTTGGGCTTGGCGGGCGAGTAGGTGTCGGTGACTTGTCGGACGGTCACCGTCTTTCCTGGGACGAGGGTGTGTCGGATAGGGCTGGAATTGGATGCCATATTACTTTTTCTTCTTCTTCTACTGGTTATGGGACGGTGCTTCAGAGGGTATTTCTGTATGGTGGGGTTGTTTCTGGATTGGGATGGGTGTCCGGTGGTAGAAGTGAGGAAGCTGTTGATGGGCTGAGGACGTGGCCGACGGCTGGCCTTCTTATATATACCTTCAGTCCCTTCAGAAAGCGCTTCTAAGCTTCTGCGTTGTGCCCCAGGTCTTGCCTGGAAATTCGATGGGATGGTTTCTTGGATCGGGTACATTCTCTAGGAATGCCTTCGGAAAGGTGTGATCATTTAGTCCATCAAAAGCTCCGGCAGGATTTCTGGGTGGCAAAGTACATTCCAACGACCGAATTATCAGAAATACACACAAGCACGCTTGTAGCTTTGTCGTGATCATCTATAAATCGCTTCTTTCTTTTGTAAAACGAGCATTCGATGGAAAGTTTGGTTGGATCCTTTGCTTTTAACGTGTGGACGGACAGGCCGGATTGGGAGATGATGGCCCAGAACACAAGCAGGTGAATTTCCATTTTTGGTGACAATTTCAGGAGCAGCTGTTTGTGTTCATAACGACAATAACAGAAACCTCAATTCTCACCTAGCATGGAGGGTCAAATCAAGGAAATTTATAAGATGGGATGGGGTTTGAAATTCTTACACAGCGGGACGGATCGAAGAAGTTCCGACCGCCGTGCCGGCGCCCTGGCCGGCCGGGCGCTGACATGACGCACCAGGGCGCCAGCAGGACCCCAGGCTGTAAGTGCGACCCGAGGTGGGTCAGGGCGGCGCCCTGGGTCGTCAAGCTGCCACGGAGGCGTGATCATGTCGGCCCAGGAGATGCACGTCCCCGTGGCGATTGGGAGGGTCGACTTGGGGTCGACATGGCCGCGAGGTCGTGATCGGTGTGCCATGGGGATGACACCGACCGAGGCGCCATGAGACCAGGGGCGTCCTCTATCGTCACCAGTCTAGGATGCGCCTCTGGGGCGTTTCATTGGCTGGGGCGCAGAGGCCGGGCCACTAGGTCGTGTAGGAGGCTGTACCCTATGATCGCTATGGCCCCGAGGCCATAGCGCTCTCAGGTACGCTGGGCGGTTGTGTATTGAGGCGCTGGGAGATCGCTCTGACGGCTGGTTGGGAGAATTGACCAATCCCTGGGCTGCCATCCTCACTTCCTCCCCGCCTGACATCACGCAAGACGGACGAACCGCAAACGAAGGGCGAACGAAGTGCCGCCAAAAGCTCCCACGGAAAAACTCCGGTTGACATCAAAACTAGCGGCCAATTGGACGACGTTCCGCCTTTTGGTCTGAGGTTTAACGAACACACGAGAAACCGGAACGTTGGTCCGCCGGGCCGAAGTTTTGTAATCCATCGCGCAGCATCGATTCCGCTTGACCATCGTTATCGGTGGTCACATTAAATCACCCTCGCACTCGGCGACTTTGGACCATCTGGCCCGTTTTTCCGGTTTCGTCCTCCCCGCACTCGGCCACCTCTGGATCGACGGGGCCGTTTTTCACATTCATCACCCAACCACTCGGCTACCTTCAGACCATCCGGGCGGTTGTCGCACATTCAACACACCCGCACTCGGGCTGCCTTTCACCCATCTGGGTTTTTGTTGAAATCCTCGTGATCCCTCAGGTCAAGCCACCAGAACTCAGAAGGAAAACTCGAATCATCGTCTAATTCAATCTCATCTCAAATACCCAACGCTCCATCCTTCACTCCCACTCCGTCCAACACTCCTACTCAGTCCTTGCTCTCCAACTCTTCCAACTTCATCATCATCAATTGGATCAGCTGAAATATCCACATTGGTGAGAAAATGACCTCAACAACTTACCTTGACTGTTGACCCCAACTAACAACATCTCTTTTTTATCTGTAGGCTGGTATCCTGTGTTCCCTTCTGTCTTGTCTTTCTACATTCAGTGGTTTCTATCTGAAGATTGTTCTTTTGTTCTGGTTAATTATTTCCCTGATTTATTTGATTTGATTTCATTCTTTTGTCCTTTCTTCATGCGATTTTTCTAACCTTTTCTTCTTCTGCGGTGTTGTTTGGTTTTTTAGCAATAAAACTCTCAAGTTTTCTCAGTTTTTTTTTCAGATACATCAGCATGAGGGCTCCAGGCCCAGCTCTAGGTGGGTTTTTTGCTTCAGTCATCCACTGGTGGGAATAAACTCCCATCTAACAGTAACACCAAAATTTGGTCTGGGTGCCCTCCAACCGCAGATTACCAGTTCTCCGACGGGCTCTATCTATGCCACCTCTGTCCAAGGGCCACTGGCACAAAGAATTGGCGTCGACACTGTGCCTCTGTCACGCACCAGCGCCAGGTTCAACATCGGGCTGAGGCAAGGCGTGTGAGTCAACCAGTGGTTCAAGAGACGGTTGGGGCACCGGGAGACCCTGGGGAGGCTGATCAGCACGATGATCACATACAAGAGGACAATGCCCATGGAGAGCGTGTGTGGGAACGGATTGAGCGCTTCCTGGCACTGGACGAGGCAGAGGCTGCATTGGATACAAACACTAGAGCACTTGACAACTACTTGGACGAGCTTGAGTCAAGGGGCGCAAGGGAAGGGGGAGCAAACCTGGGAACTGGGACGGGACAGGGGCCGAACTGGCGTGGATTGGCTGAGACGGCACTAATGGGATTTGAGGTGGATAAGGACGATCACATTGTTGAAGACCCCCCAATCCTCAGGACAGACAAGAGGTCAGACCGGGTGAACAAAAGCCCATGGTACCCTTTTAAGAGCCAAATGGTGAGTTGGGTCTGTCATGCTTCACCCATGAGTCTGGCGGGGAGATTGAATTGACAGTCTTGTGTACTCTGACTTGTAGGACCTCATTGCATCACTCATCGTGGGGCACACACATTCTATGCTTTCAAGAAGTCTTTACACTAAAATCAGGGCAATCTTGACCCTATGCGGCCTGCGTTTGCGTGCGTGGTCAACAGTGCGCACATCACGTGAGAGGATTAGGGGTTTATTGGGGAGTAAGATTGGGAAGGCGGTATCGGTTTTTGATGTGCCTTGTTATGCACTGAGTGCAAAGAAGATCTTGAGCCAAGTGAGTCATGAGTGATGGGTGACTGGGGGCGAGTAAATGTTGGCTGAACTAACTCATCTGGATTGTTTTTAGGAATTGGCCAACCCTCGTGTCTCCAAATTCTTGGACTATTACCCCGAGATGACAGATGGTTTGATGATCAAGAAGTTCTCTCAATCAGGAAAGTGGCTGTCAGGAATGTCACGAGCCATTCGACCACAAATGTGTGAGGCACACGGGAAACACTTCTATATTTATGAACCTGTCCAACTGCGGTCCCATGTGGTTGTGGTCCCGGTGTATCTTTTTATGTATCAGTCAGTTCTACACGCAAGGTGCTGGGAGATACTCGATGATCACATAACAAGTACAGAAACAAGTGTTGAGGGGAATTTATCAACAGTTCTGAATATCCGAATGCCATTGGATCTGGACTTTGATGATGCGCGGTTGAGGTCAATCCCTGTGCATCAGTTTGATGTGGAATACTCTGGGATTCGCTGGGAAGACGGGAGGCTCCTTGTGGAGGCATGTGCGGGGAAAATCTTTGGCAAGTAAACATCATGTTCTGATTGCCTGTGGCTCATGCTGACATGTTTCTTGGGGGTGGCGGTAATCAGACGGTACAGGTCTATCAGGAGAGGTTTTGACGTTTCCAAATCCTTGGAGGGCCAAGGCAAAGAAGATGATCCTTCGGAATGTGCCAATAACCCTATATTCTGACAACACTTCAGGGAATGTTTCTAAGCAATTCAATAAGCATATATCGTTCTATTTTACCCTTTGCGGTCTGCCGCCGCACTTGTCCAATCAGGAGTATAATTGTCACTTTCTCTCAACTTCAAACTTGGCCAGTGTGGGGGAAATTGCGGAGCAAATCGTTGAAGAAATGAAGTGAGTGACTGTTGCATGGATTTAGATGAGGAGCTAATGGGTTGGTGTGTTTTGGGTGGCTCAGTGATATGACAACTGAAGGGTTCGAAGCCTACGATCACAGCATTGGCCAAAAGGTTTGGGTGACGTCTTCGGTCTTTTGCTTCCTGGCGGACTCGCCCATGCATGCTGAGGTGACTTGCACACCAAATCCTGGGGCTTCAATAAATCCGTGCCGAATGTGCAAGCTGTCGGTGAGCATGAAGAGGTTAAAGCGGACACGCAGGTTCATCAGGGCTTTCCTCGGGAGGGGGTTTCATGGGAATAAGGTAAGGAGGCTGCTGGGGATGTCTGGGTGGGATTGTTTTGGGTTGGCTGATTGTTGCACTGCATTTCATTAGGTGCGAGGGGACCCTAGGGAGTGGGAGGAAACAAAATCAAGATGTCGCGAACTTTGGGAAATTGCGACCACACAAAGCTGGAATCAATTTGTGATCAAATGTAAGGAGTATGGTCTAAAGGATACAATAACAACAAGGCTCTTGACCGAGGCAAAACTGGATTCTTGCATCAAAGAGAAGATGATGAATATGGCCCTTGGGGATTCCAATCGCTTATACAGCCCCTTTTTGCAACTGATTGGTTAGTTTTGAACATGTACAATTTCCCAGTGTGGAGGATGATATGCTGAATTTTTCTTGGTTTATTTGTCATAGGGTTTGACGGGGTGCGTGATACCCCAGTGGAAGTATTGCATGTTGTCCTCCTCGGGGTGGTGAAATATTTGGCCCGAGATTTGGTTGCGGGAATCTCCGAAGGGGATCAGAAGCAGCTGGTGGGACGCCTACAATCTTTCGACTGCGCGGCTCTGAACATCTCTTCGTTCAAGCCAAAATACCTGATCAAGCACATCAAGAGCCTGGTAGGTCGGGATTTTAAGATCTTGTTACAAGCAGCCCCTTTTGTGTTTGGGGAATGGATGAGTGAGGAACAGAAACCCATATGGTTTGCTCTTTGCAAGCTGGCCCCTTTGATTTTCCAGACATGCATAGACGACATGGACGCCTACCTGATCGAACTCACCCAGCACATTGACATATTCTTATTTCACATAATCCGATCAACAGCGCAATGGGTCAACAAGCCAAAGTTTCACATGCTCGTGCACCTTGTGGAATGCATCCGGAGGTTTGGGCCAGCGAGCCTGTTTGCAACAGAGAAGTTCGAATCGTATAACGGGGTCTTACGCAAAGCTTCTGTGCACTCAAACAAATTGGCCCCTGGGCGAGATCTGGCGACCTCATTCAATGATTTTGGATCACTTAGGTTTGTGGTGTCTGGGGGGATTGTCTTGGACAATCAGACGGGTGGGCCGCGGCCAATTGGGACCTCAGTGACCTCGGTTTTTGACGATAACCCCTCGGTTCAGAAGTCGATGGGATACAACCACCTGGCATGTCACCCAGATGACAGACGCGACTACCCTAGGAAAGCACGGGGACGTGTGGGGGAGAAGATGGTCTCAGTCCCACCAGCAGCCCTCTTGGAAGCACACCCGAGCGCTGTTGTCAAACAAGTTGGAAGGGTAGATGTGAGCGAGCATGATCGGGTGGGAAGTGGGTCATTCGTGGTGGTGAGTTTGCCCCAAATTAATCTGCAGTTTTCCTGTTTGGCTAACCAATCCGCCTGATATGTCATTCAGGTTGGCGAGAGCCCCATGGGGGAGTTGGTGGTTGGGCATGTGGATTCTTTGTGGGAGGTCTCAGCAAATGGTAGCACCCCGGGGTTCTTTGCCTCAATGAATGTTTGTATATCAAGGGGGGTTGATGACTGGTATCAAATGAGAAAACTGCGGCGGTCAGGTCGAAAATCCTTGGTGAATGTTAAAGTAAGATCCTATCATTGCCCAACCAGCTGAAGACGTGAGGATGAGAGCTTACTGACCGGTGAATTTTACATGGACAGTTTATCCTTGGATGCATAAATGTGCAACATAATTGCCACAGAGGCGAATGCCCCGTTGAGCTGACCAAGGAGGAGGACATGGAGCGGCAGGCTACAGGACGCAAGGGATGGCAGGTCGAGCACTCAGACCAAGAACACTACATCATCAACAGTGGAGCCCTCAGGAATGCTGTGCTGCATCGGAGAATATCAGGACTGCCTATGGATCTCCCGGACAGACACAAATGGACTGAAGCAATCGATCTTGGGCTGGGCATCTGGAATACAGGTTTGGATCCTATTCAGTCTGATGATGAGCACTTTGATGAATATCAGCCAGGGAGTGAAGATGACGCCGAGGGGGAGACAGATTCCGAGTTCGCCAGATCATCAAATAGTTCTGGGTCTGATAATGATGAGGACGCGGATGGCGAGACAGATTCCGAGTATGATGAGGTGTAGCTGCATCCTGAGGTGCTTTGCCCTGGTCCTTGGCTCGTTGGAAGTCTCTGTCATGA